ACGGTATTTCATGTATAAGTGGAAAATCTGCAAATGTTAATTAGTATTTGGAATATTTCAACGCTTTTCCTGTGTCTGAATAGCCACGAATATTTTATAAGACTCGTTTGAACGACAAAGCTAAATTTTCTGGCGCGTTTCAAATATTTTTTCGTACGGCTCTGGTTGAGGTTTCGTGTAAGTACTCGACTGTTCATATTCTGTCAATTTGATTGTCTCGACATCCGAAACATGTTTACTTTGACTCTTGACCGATTTTACGACCTCACTACATTGTGCCTCGTGCTATATTTATCTACTGATCACCGCGTCTGTAATGGATACTAAATTGAGATCAATATTTGTTCGAGTATTCAAGTGGGACGTATGCGTCCCACTGGTCAAGAAAGAGTTATGATACTGTTGGTTGTGTTGATTTTATAATAATTCGAATACCTACATAGATATTTTGAGTAGTTTGAAGAGTGAAACCTGTTCGAAGAAATTCAGCTATTTGAATAGTACATTTTCAAATTAGAGTCATCTTGTAATGGATGTACGATGGCGAGTGGGCTAGATTTGACTCGAAAATTTTTGAACATTTTCATTTTCAACATTGCTTGTGAAGTATATGAATTCGATAAAAAATCCTTACCTTTGTTTTCATTTGTACAATTTGGTTCGACGTGATATGGTAACACCTTCTTTCGTTTAATTTTTGTTTAAGATGGAATGGTATATTGATAAAAGTTGGCAGATGAAGTTTGAAATTAAAATGTTACAAAATTTTGTTAAATTTGCTAAAAATTACTGTTGAGGAATCTGAGGTTTCATATTACCTGTACAACTTAATAGGTGCTGAGAGAAATCTTTATAAATACAAAGGAATTTCAAAGTTGTATGATTTTCGTTATTCACTATTAATTCTTTGCTTTTCACTGTTTTGTAAAATGTGCTTACGAAGTTTGTCCAATTTACTTTTATCAAGTGAAACTTGTTACTCTTATCTTAAACACAGAACTAATGCTCTTTGAATACGATCTTGCTATTAGAACATTTTCGTGTTGTATCTACTCTGTTCGGTGTTAATTATGGTTTTACATATACATTTTCAATGTTGCTAATTTGTTCCATTGAATATGCCTTAATTGAATATTTCTCTACTCTGTGTAACAGTAGTACATCCAATCTTAAATAATTCACGAAATAATTTCACCTTCTTCATCAAGACTTTTGATTTTCTAACTGCTACAACCAGCACCACATCCCACCTTTGAAAAGTCCACTTTGTAATTGACGTTCACGTAACGTGAAAGCATACCAGTCAGACACACCTGCCATTCACAACAAGCATTACTACATACTTCCAATCCCTTAACATTTTCAACGTTTACTATGAGATAATGCACACTAATAATGAAATCCTGCTGGTAACCACAGAATACCCTAAGGAAAAGATTTTCCGAGGGAACATTTCTAAAATGTTCCAGCGAAACGTGTTACAGGGACCAACTTCCTCTGAAAGCTCTCCTTCTCGAATATTTCATAAAACTGTTTCCTATTCTATTACAACGAGTTTAAACAAAGTGAAACTCACAATGTCACACCAACAGCGTGTTGTCGTGAAACTACAATTGCTGAATATGAACTTCAGACCGCTCCCCATTCATCTCCAAGTAACTTAGATACTGTCTCCCCGCGACAAGGCTCGCTTCCAGCCATTTTAAAAGCGGGTCGACGATCTAACTGAGCTGTAAAGCCACCGTAAAATGTCGAAAGTGAAAAACAGCAGGCTGCACGGTTTCCAGTTGTGGTATTGCCGGCGTGCACCAGTGTTTATCTGTGCGGTTACGAGTCGAGCAATCAGTGAATGTTTGCTGACCCTTTACCTGTATTTATTAGCGCTTTTGCGTTTCGGTGACACTTTGCAACTTAGCGCGTTCATGAAAAAGTCTGCAAACCAGTACATCGTTCTCGTGTATTCGATTTCCATCCCTTCGAGTTGGAACTTGGAGTCTTAGCAGAGGGAACAAGGGAAAGGTCTCCGAGATCATCGTTTCGATACGGCGTTCCATGTAAAAACGTGATTCGAATGAAATTGCAGACCTAGAGGGAACAGAAGCGACGATAGTTGAAGCAAACTTTGCCTCTCTCTCTCTCTCTCTGTCGCCCTCCCTCTCCCCTTCTTTTTTTACACTAACGTAGCTGATTGAATTTATAATTTTTGAGATGGAAAATTGCATACGGGTATCACAGTCGGGCGTCGATTCATCGTGACCTCGCAATTTGGCGCAGCGCGTGCTGTTAGCAAACCGACGGCTACAAATTAATGCCCTCTGGGCCCAATGTCGGTAAATTAATAGAGCCAGCGTTAGGTTCAACCGATGATGCGCAATAAATTGATGAAATCGTTATCGCACAGTCCGGTATTATTTAATCAGCGATGCACACTTCATTCAAGCACAATTTTCTGAATAACCGTGTTTAACTAGATGCTTGAATAACACGCCTGAGCCCAGCTAGCCATTGTTCATCGACGTCGATGATACATTGTAGGATGCTTCATGCCACCGCGCTTCGTTAATGACACCGGCATGCCTCCTCGCTGTTACCGCGACGCCCTGGAGAGCCACTGACATCACAGTTACCGTCTATGCGTCTTCGTTTTCCCGCTTTTTTCCCCGATGCACCGAGTTTTTTCCTTTTCCCCGGCTGTGCCTCGGACTTTGTGGCCGTTCGAATGCCAGCGAACCATGAAGTTGCATAGAGTCACACGGCGATCGCCAAAAAAGGTGGAAAAAAGCAGGCTAGGTTGGATAACATGCAAAACATGGACACACTGTGAACATTGTTACAAGCTATTACGTTTGTCGAATTATTGTCCGTGTTTCCAGCGATTCCTGTTGTTCGTGTTCCATGTTATTGCTTCACTTCGTCCACCAGTTCCCTTCTTCGACCATATTCGCGTCGCTCTTCGCCCTTTGTTTCTGCGTTCTACAACTCAGACCTAGTTCCGCGTTACACGGGACTTGCTAAATTCGTAAGCGTGCGTTTGACAGCTAATAGGTAACAGTTATTTGAAGGAGGCGTGGAAAAGCCCCGGAAATTTGTTAAAGGACCAGCTTCGTTGCTCGTACAGCAAACGAAAAATTTCATCTGAATACACCGTCAATTTTCCGTCTAAGCCTCCGACGTTCTCCTCCTTCTGTTCCTGTTGCTGCTTGCTCTTCCGCTCTCATCTTCCGCTACCTTTTGTCCGCAATTTTTATTTCTCGAAACGGCAGCAACGTTGTAATACGGCCAATTAACGACCACCTCCTCGAATATATACTTTAAATAAGAGATACAACGTCGCTGGCATGGTTTTACTGAAGGATTTAGGAGCGCCACAATCGCCGCGAAGAACTGAGTAAATACTTTATTTCAATCTTTAGAGTTCCGTGTCTCTTATCTCGAAGGGAACTCACAATGCGATCTTTTCAATCGGATAAAGTAGAGTTTCTTCACGGATAAGTGTACACACAGACGTAGTCAGGATTCTAAAAGCTTGAACGGCCATGTAAACGACGGTTACCCGTTAATCCACCCTTGATGCGCGGTTAACGATCAGAATTCGTGTAATTCGAGACAGAGAGATTGAAGTTAACGCGTGAGCGTCGCGAAGATGCAAAAAGAAATTTAAGATTCACCTAGACTTGAGCCTGCATACAAAATTAAAGCGCGGATAGAACATGGCTACGTTACCCAAAATGGACGGAGATAATACGAAAATTCATTTTTCCGGTCACGCAAATCTCGGTCGATCCACGTTAAAGTCGTCACACTTTTTCCCACGGACACGCAGCCTCTTTTTCTGAAAATAGAGCGACCCGAAAAGATTACTCTGGTGACGTGGAGCACGTTGTTCGATGCTAGTAATCCCGAACTCGCCAGTGTCACGATCTTTTAACTGCGTTATCGTTTCCGGAACACTGGGAACCACCTCTTATCAGTGGTTACCACGTAAGAGCAGCCTGCCACGCGCGACGTATACGTTCCAGTCGATTCGAAATCGATAACCAAGGAGGGTACACCGCATTGTTATACAAAAGACGGATGCGTTTAACGATGCATCAAAACGCTAATAAGCCTGCAACAGATCCCTTCCCCTGTTGGTCTGTATTAATATTAGAGCAATTGTGCAGCTCACGAGCAGTTGGGTATTAGTATTATAGTTAGTTACCCCTCGCGTGTCGCCTTCGTTTGCTGTTGAAGACCTTGATCTAGGGCACACTCGTGTTCTTACGACGCACACTCACACTCGAGGCTGTTCGAACACATGAAAAGAAACATGTGCACGGGGATGAGGAAACTGATCTGAGCTGGCAGACTTTTGGAAGAGCGACGAAGTATGTACGGTTAGACGGTTATCGTGCTCGTACACACGAACGTAGAGGATTAGCCGAGTAGTAAAATATCATGTCTGGATGATAATGCCTAAACCGTGTAACACTTGGAGCGTAATGTGTAGATGGAGCCCGAGGCTCGGGCTAGAAATACATGGAGCACAGTTGTAACGTCCCCATCGTCCGGTAAGGTGTATACAGGTACCATCGAGAAGGGGTAGACGAGGATCGAGCGATAATATCGGCTGCGCTTCGTTTGGCCACGAGCGTGCGAGGAACTCGAGGACGAAAACCGCAGCCGAACCTCGGCGACGTTCTCAGTGGTCAACTTCGAACGCAGATAGGACAGTGGTCCTGAGAGTAGCGAGAGTCTGTGGACGAAGATGAACGGAATACGCGCAGGCGGAATGGGGGTAAATAGACGAACAGAGAAAGAGAAAGAGAGGGTGTGAGAGTGGGTGGAGAGAGAGAGAGAGAGAGAGAGAGCGAGGAGGGGGGTGAGGCGTATAGAGGGAGATAGAGAATGGAGGCAGTCGCGAAAAGAGAGACAGAAGAGAAACAGATAGACTAATAGAGAGGGAGAGATGTGGCAGGTGCAGGAGAGGATTCGCGTACGGGCGGGTGAGTTGTGCGTACCAATCGCGGGTGCAGGGTACGTCCGCAGGCACGCAGGAGGAGGCGAAAACCGGGCACAGCCCCAGGAGCGGAGGGTTCCAGCAAACGGGGCAAAACCGCCCACGCTGCTTCCCGGGGACCGGCGCGCGTCTGCTCGCGTTGCGACGAGTGCAACACATTGAGTACCGCGCGCGAAAACGGGCTTCAACGCGACTCGGTTGGGTGGTGGCCCGCTGTTCACTCGTCGGAGAGAAAAGGCGAGACAAGGTGGTGCGCGAGGAGCAACAGGGACGATTAGAGGAAGAGAGGGCGAGTGAGAGAGGGATGCGTAAAGGAGGAAGGGTGAAGAACGGAAGAGGAAGAGGTGGATAGGGGAGAAGGAAGAAGGGAGGCAGGGGTTGAGTGGCATAGGAGGGTGGACGGGGCTCGGGTGGAGGAGGGGTGTGCTTGCGGAGGTTGGGCGACGGGGGTGGCGGCCGATTCTCGGTTGGCGGTAGTGGCGGCGAAGGCTGCAGGGGCGAGAGGGGTGGCGGCGGCGGTGGTGGTGGCGGCGGCGGCGGCGGCGAACATAAAATCCCTCGCACATGCCTGGTGCATTCATTAGGGGGGATGTGTCCGTGCAGCGTACACGTCGACCTGCATCCACGCCACCCTCTCTCTCTCTCGGCGCCACCCCTAGCCTCAGTCGCGCTCCGCGACCAACTTGGTACACACGCCACTTTGTTGTTTCTCCCTCTCGGAGTTTCGTCTGCATTTATACGCCATCGACGTCGCGTCGCGAGATAATCGTGCACCGCGAGATATTCCGTCTCGATCCTATTGGTCGATTGATCGCCGATTCGAATGAGAAAGGTGGCTGTTAATTACACCAGCCTGTGTTAATACTCTCGTTCTCTCTATCGATATATTCCTTCCTCGCTCGCTCAACTCGCTCGACCCATCGTCGCGTCATGATCATGACCGTCGAGACGAGTTGAAAATACCGTTGTACTGACCGGTGCGAACGATTTAACGAGTGCGTCTATCCCGTTTGAAAAATTCGTGTGCGCGAACTGTATTGTCCATGAAGGCAACAGAGATCGCAGTTCCATCGTGAACGACAGACAGAAGCGGACCATTAACGTTCCGTGAACGTTGAAGAGGATCGCCGTTGCGCCCCGGGGAGGATCATCTCCGGAAGATCGTCGCGGAAGATCTTCTGTAGGAGGATCAAAAGAGATCCTTCCTCTGAACTGCGTGGTGCGGCTACGCCAGGCCGACAGGATTTCATGTTCACGAATTTCAGTAGACCAGGTAACGATGCGCCAAATCCGCCTACACGGTATCGGCGCGTCGATTTTCAGATTTTCATTCGACAGACGTCACCGTGACGTATTCCTCTTTCGAGCGATTGTACGTTCAATTTGCGCGCTCGGCCTTCCTCTGGCAACACGCGGCTCGCTTAGAGGGGTGGCCCCCAACAGATACGCGCCTATTCCGCGGCCCGCAAACAGCCTACCAGAACCGTACTCATCGATCCCGGGATCTAGAGGCATGCGTCGCGTGTTTCCTCCCTCTCGCTTTGTCAATCTACCTTCGAGAGAATAAGACGCAAAACAGAGACGATAGAGAAACGTTTCACCGTCGATCAAACTCGACGCGGATTTTTCATTGAAACACGTTTGTTTGGCCAGCCCTTATCGATACACCCAGACTCTATATATGGCTCGTTGATCGACGTATCGTCGTTCTTTCAGCTTTTTACGGGATTTTATAATCGGTTAGGAAAATAAGGGAAATGGTTCCCAACATTGATCGTAGAAAACATGCAGAATGCTTGGCAGGGTGGGATGAGAATTCACCGTTAAATTCCGTAACTAATCGCGGAACCGGGTAGTTTAACGGATTTCAATAATGTGCTCTGTAAACTAGACTGCATTTATTGGTTTAGCGTCCGATTGAAACATAAACTGGCCCAGCGCGGACAAAAACACGCGGTAACGCGATTCTCAATTTTCGAGAATGCATTCGAGAGCGAACGATCTCACTTTCTAGCTACTGTAATTGCACGCGATTTCTATTGCTCAATACTGACAAATGTAATTGATAATATTCGGTAGGACAAAGTTTCATCAACGAAACGTCTCAATGTTAAAACACGCAAAGACTGATTCTTGCTCAATTAAATGTTAATCAGAAATGTATATTATTCTACAAGCACATAATTTATCAATTAACGAATAAGAAAAATGAAACAAGCTCGTAAATAAACAATGTAAAATTATGTTTCACACTTACAAAAGTTACGTATAGATGCGAACGTGTAAATTTTATTATATATTTCAATATCAGTCTTGTAATTAGATCAAAATGCATTATAAATAAGTATGCAGCACAGTATTATTACTTATCTGGTGTACATCGAAAAATGCAATTTAACTATGTACATGACGTGACAAATATTATACCTTTTATTTCTTCCAAAGGGGGCGGGGTATAAATGGAAAGAAAAAAAAAACGAGGAAAATGTTCGAATCAGAATTCGAAATACACGAAATGGTATTTTGGGATCGGAATTCGTTTATACGGGCTGCGATAAAATGTTTCTCAGACCGGACGGGCGAAAACCTAAATACTCCTTAAGGTGTAATTTAAAAGCGGAGTCCTAACGGTGACGGGTTTTTTTTTTACAAAAGTTCGCCATGCAAATTTCGCGGCGATACTGGCCGGTCGTTTCGCGGTCGAAAAATGGAATTCCAGAAAATAAGGCGAACCGGGAATTTTGTAGATAATGGTTTCGAATAAGAGGTAGGTAGCCGTGGTATATTAGAATTTCCATGGAATTATTTGCGCGATATTTCGCCGAGAACGTTCTTTCCGTATGCAAATACAAAACGTCGTAACTTCTTAGACAGTACACGCCGGTGGACAAATATTGCAATAACGGTATATCAAGATTAATTTTTAATCTGCCGCGATGGGCGGTGGGAAACGATCCATAATTTATCGTGTACACCTACATTGCTCCATGGTACATAGAGTTACGCGTAGATTAAGCCAAAAAGAAAAAAAGACGAAAAAAAGATTATCATAGCAACGAAAAAAGACACTTCGTACGCATTACAAGCCTAGAAACTGTTATCGTTAATTCTCTATCGCTTTGAACGGCCGGATATTACTTTTATTAACACATTGCCAACCGATTGGGTGGATCTATCATTTTCTACCGTTTCATTTTCATTTCACTATTCCAAGACGTTTTGTTCCATAATATTCTTGAATATAACGAATCAGCATTCCCAACAGAAAGGTCCTCTACCAATTTTCCTAGAAATCGTTTTACCTGTCTCAGACAGTTTTATTCAACTGCAATTCGTTCGGTTGGTAATGTGTTAAACGAGCTGGCCAAAGGTTCGAGCATAAATCGACGCCAAACAACGTGTTTACATTCGATCGTTTCTGAAAAAAGACTGCCAGAGAGAACAGAAAGCAAATATTGTCCTCTTTTTTTTGCTATTCGCCTCTCGAACGTATCCGCGTTGTCGTCGTCATCGTCGGGATGACGCATCGATCGGTTTTCTTCGATCGCAGGATACACCGTTCCGAGGGGGAGGAAAATTTGTTGCGGCACATCAAGCGCGCTTGCGATTTTCATCCGTATAAGAGTGTGCCTATAAAACACGTAAAAACGTTCAATACGGCCCCCTCTGTTTCGACGACAAACCTCTCTCGTTTGTTTGAAGATCGCACGTTCAAAGCGTGCTCTTTTTTCTTCTAAGCTGCACCGCCGTATTGTCGCGGAGAAAACGTATGGCCGAGCGCAGCAGCGTGCGTCTTTTATCGGGAGTCCGTATTTTATACCGACTTTCTTACCACTGCATTAAACTTTTGCTCGACTATCGCGAATCTCTTGTTGCTTTTTGTTCGAGCGTGAATTATGTATAATCGCCTTCCGTTGGAAATTTTAGTCGGAACAAAATGTACATATTATAACCTATTATTTCCTAATTACATCATCACGAGACGCGTCTTTTTCACGCGTCAGAAAAATGGACGCTTGAAGCTTCCGGAAAATATATAATTATTGAGTCGCGTGCAATTTCGTCTCGCCGAGAATTCGAGCCGCTGCGTGCGCAATTAGCGCGCGAGCATGCGCGGTGCGAAAAGATCGCGCAATGGCACCGCGCTGCACTTCCGGTGTGCACCGCGCGAAGATCGTCCCTGAAGATCTCTGCCAGCCGCACGGAAGACAGGGAAATGATACTCTTTTACGCGTCAGCACGTCGCGTGACTTCTCTCCGCGCTAGGGCGAGAAACGTCGGCGTATCGTGGTTCGATACGTCGCGATGCCTTCTTCCACTTGTTTTCCTCGTGGAACAGTCAAGGCCACGGCAAGATAATTATGCAGATAACGGTGATGCTCGCCGGTATCCCACCTGCATGGAGGATCTACAGGTCCGTTCCTTGCCTAAAGATAAGCTTTACTCTTTTCTCTCTATATGTCTGTTCTTTAACGTTGTGTTGATCTTTGATCTTTTACACACACACACACACACACACACACACAGACACACACTTTACATACATACATTCAGCATCGACATTCGCTGTTGATTTTTCGTCTGTTCAACGCTCTTTTAGACGAATAGCTTGTGATTTAAATACGTTCTGCCGGTTCTGCTTATGAAACATCACCTCAGATTCTTTTTTCTCTCTCGAACAATATATAGAGGTAACTGGCTCGAGGAACTGGTTCGCACAATTAATTGCGTAACCATTTAGTTGACCCAGGATGATGTGTTGCTAATGTGTAACGAGCGAGTATTACTCTTTGTTAGCGATAGGTTCGCCACTTTGACGGTATAAGATTGACCCGACTGCGATTAAAAGCGCTAATAGTTAACTACCGTAACACCTTTCAGTAATTATTCGTCCACGAAACGAGTAAATCCGACTTGATACCGCTGGATACAATTACTACTTGCCCCCCCCTCCCCGTCCTCCTCCTTCTTCCGCGTTTGTCGTGTCGCCGCGGACATCCGTGGATAGGGAAAAAGAAAAGTGAGGAGAGGAAAAAGATACGACGAGAAATTTCGTGGAATAGAGTTACTCGAGACGAAACGAGCGAGTATATTCGTGCACCGAATCATTTGAATTTTCCCTCTCCGGTAAAGAGAGAAAATTTCGAGTTCATTGTAATTCCTTATTACGCCTGATATTCCCACTCTCGCTTATATCATCGCGCGAGTCTTCATTAAACGAGACAGTTTTCGTCATGAATAATGTCTGTCATAATTTACAACGACGCTCAGCAATGAAACACGATAGAGAAAGGGAGTTCTTCAAACGGAGCTATCGTTGTAAAAACGCTTTCACTTACTTTGCCATTAAAAATATATCGCGGCACGCCCTAATCGCGGCGTTATCGTGCCCTTCTGGGTTAACATTTTAAATCCTCAGAAACACGCTCGAGATAAATCCAATTATACTCATTGCGTTATCCGCTTAATACACCGAATTCCTATTTACCAATACGGCCGTATCTTCGCCGGAGACAAGCACGCGAATAGTAATTTTGCGCAGTGCCAATCAAAGCGCGGATTAAATCTGTTAATGGTCGGGCAAAGCTTGTAAATCCATATTCGAAAACCGATTAAGGAGATTTTCCAATTTTCCCGCTACCTATTGATTTTGTATGGTTAGCGCGATTATCGTTCGGCTCGCGGACGGCCGAAATTAATATCAGAAAGCTCACGATTTGCGTGAATTACCGTTTATTGCAGTCAAATGAAGCTGAACGACCCCTTTGCACTGTATGATTTTCCGCGAAATATAATATCCCCACGGATAACGTGGCGTAAACGCGCGTTTATTCAAAGAAAGAAGGGGGGTAGTGAGAGAAGAAGAGCGGGAAAGAAGGAAGAAGAGAGAAAAATTCGCGTTCGTGAATTGCCAAAGTAGTTACGATATAATGAGCATATGAATGATCCTTTTTTCTTTTTTTTTTTTGGAATTACTCGGGAGAAAACGGGTATTAAAACTTTCTTTTTATAGCATCTCGTTCAAGGATCTATGAATGTTTTACATACATTACAATAACACGACGTCGTATAGTTTGTTACGTTACACGAGAAATCCAACTTCTGTGTAACAGTTTTCGAACAAAATTACGTATGCTTCCCATCGTACTTTTTTCCAATTACAGTTATAAGTTCCTTAACGCGAATAAAAATTATCCCGATTATCGTAGTTATTGTGAAAACATTTTAAGCTCGTGGTCGAACTTTAACACCAAATACAGTGGTTACAATTATTTTTATTTTTGGTGGCACAAAGTAGAAATTTCATCGGTGAGAGAAACGAGCCCATTGAACAGAGCATATTTCTGTTGAATTATCGCGCTTTGGACAGTCAATAAGATAAATGCGTTTATCTCGACGTTCGTTTAAAAGGTAATTGAATTGAATGTTTGTTTATTTATTTTAACTCTTAATGTTTTGCGCATAGTATAGTTTATACATTTTAACATAATTTTATCGAGATAGGTTATGTATTTCGTGTCGATTATTTTTTGACTTTATAGTCGAGTTATTATTTTATACCAACTGCATAATTAATTATCTCTTTAGTTACCATTTCTCCTTAAAAGTTACATGGAAATTGGAAAAGAAGGGAATTCAATATGAATAATTATACTCTTCTATTTCCTGAAAAATGGATGGAAAACATTTATCAAACAACAACGACAATTTTTTTCAGTTCGTTGTTGTATTATATAGAATTATAACATTGCTATAAATATTGTTACAAAGTTACATTCATTTAGAAGGAAAGAAACATTCAATTTAGATCGAAACTGTTGAAAGAAGTTCTATTGCGTGACTAGTAACGTTTGTATTCGAGCGCCCTTCGCGCCATTCCCCCCCGGCAGATGCTCGAAGGTCAAAAGTATTTTAAAAATAAGGCCGTAGGCATTGGCAGATTGGTATGGTAGTGGACGTTAAGGGTCGGGTGGCGTTGTAATGGCAAAAAGTTTGCGAAAGGTGAGTAATCATCGGGACGATAAACAAACTCGGGTCGTTAGTGTATACGGTGCGTTAGTTAGCTGGCGCTGGGTTTAGGTAAATAAAGCCGCGTGTGAAGCGTGTTTGAATGGTTAGAAATCGAGCATCAACAAATCGAGTTTTCGCGAGAAGGCTCGTGGCTAGACGAGTAAGGCCGACAATGGCGCCCAAGCCTCGCGAATATTGACATTGCCGAAAACATTATCTTCGAATATTGGATATTATCATATCCGTGGGTGACACATACTGCGTCGCAATTAATACTCTAACCTTCTTTTAATTCGCGCTACATTTGTTGAAGTGAAATCACGAACGGAGTAATTTGTCGGTTGCCGAGGTTATGCGAAAAAATGTTTTCGGCACGTATAGTAGCGACGCGTGAACCCTGAAGGGTTTTACAGTTATACTGCAATGTGGCACATTTGCAGAAGCACGGAGGAAGTTGTGTGGGTCTAGAGTTGCGATATAATCTCCGAGGAGATATCGTCAGGCTGATATAGGAGAGTGTGCGTGAAGAAGGCGTGTGAGTTAACGTTTTAAGGGTTAGGGAGTCATTCTGTAGTCAGGGTGATCACAGTCTCTAGTGTGGACAGTTCAGGGCAGCTAGTTTGGTTGTAGGGTCGGGATTGGAGATAGACAAGATGGACCAACAGTATTGCCTACGGTGGAACAATCATCCAGCCAACCTCACCGACGTTCTCAGCTCCTTGCTTGCCAGAGAGGCACTCTGCGACGTTACCCTGGCGTGTGTTGGAGATACTTTCAAGGCACACCAGACGATACTCTCTGCATGCAGTCCATATTTCGAGAGCATTTTCCTTCAGAATACCCATCCCCATCCAATTATATTCCTGAAGGATGTCAATGATATGGAAATGAAGGCGTTGCTGCACTTTATGTATAAGGGAGAAGTTAACGTTAGTCAGCATCTGCTACCGATGTTCCTTAAAACAGCTGAGGCATTACAGATTAGAGGCCTCACTGATAATAGTGTAAATAACAAGACAGAAGAGAAAAGTCCATCGCCAGAACCAGAAACGCAAACTGGTGTTAGGCATACCGAATCGCCTAACCTTCAGCCTCTTCCTGAAAAGAGGAAACGAAAGGCTTCGGGCAGCTATGATGTTTCCCTTAGTGGTCCACCCAGTGAACGGTTCATGTCAGATTCTCAGGTACGTAACTATCAGTATTGCATATCGATATTATTATTTTATGCATGTTAATGTTACTTGATTTATGCTTATGTTGTCAAATAGTTTAAATATTACATTTTTATTCTTTTTAATACTTCCATGTGTAACAGTTACCCAGTAAAAACATTTGGAAAGCTAGTAATACTTGATTGCATTTAAGAGTTAGCAATTAATTATGATGGTAATGGTTGCCAGTTAGTCCAGAAACATATTTACTTTTACAATATAATATGTTGGATTTGTTTAATACCTTTCTATAAAAAATCCGGTAAATGTTTTTTATTTATTATGATTTTTAAGACTTTTTAAAGTAACTTGCATTTTAATGACTATAAGTAATAGTTGCTCCATTTATAGATAATGTTTCCTTTTTTACAATGTTTATTCAATAGTTTATAATTAAGCCAATACAAAATTAATGTCTCAATAAAATTAGTTGTAATAATGCTAAAATTATAAAATATATTTATTTTTAAACACACAGAGATTATAAAATGCATGTTCTATTTTTATTTGTTGAATATTTTGTTGCTTAGTAGTCGTGTATGTTATTCTTTATTATACTGGATGTAAAATTACGTTGTAATATTAGATCAAAGTAAATTTATTCCTTTGCGAAGAAAACATTTTCAAAACATATGCTCCCGCGAAGTTGTGCGCGTGCGTTGTGCATGCGTCGTACGTACACGTATATACGTCTAGTCACATGTTTACATGCAAACTTTTCTTACAGGTAACGCTTAAAATTTAAGATAATGATCGTTTTTTATTATCATTAAACTATATATGTGCATGATTGCACAGCTTTTCAAATATCTGTACTTGTAACCTTGGAGTATACTCGAATGCTAATCTTAAAATATTATTCCAATTACAGTCTAATCCCTTAGAAACAATATTTTAACTGATTCTTCTGTATAGTAATTCTTTTCCTAAAATAATTTTTTAAATAAAGTATATTATATAAAATGATTCGTAATGTTAGTCAATCAAGATGAACTAAATTTTAACGTCATAATAAATGCTTTAATTATGATATTTATATTAACTACACAATCATTAATGGCTTTTGTATTTCTAAAATGCATAACTTTGTAATTTTCTGTTTTTCAGGCATCCTCACAATGTAGTTACAAATCAAGTCCTCCCGTGATTCCAAAGTTAAATAATGCCATGGGAGGTGATATGGAAGATGGTGGTCGACCTATGTCTCCTGCATCACAACCGCAACCTTCAATCAAGCAAGAGGTAGATCATCATTTACCAGACTTCCATGACAACATTTCCCTCCCAGTGAGTAATTTTCTATATAATGTCATTTTTCATATTCTGCTAGATGTTTGTAACAAAAATACTATTATAATATGCATGTTGATGGTATAGCTTATAGCATGTAAATAGTTTGCAGTGCGTAGTAATTTGAAGGTGTATACTAATGTAATAAATGTTCAAACATATTTTCTTTTAATGGTTATCTTATATCGAGTTTTTCATTCACTTCAGAAATAAGTAATTAATATATTTAAAGCATTTTCTTATGTCTGCAAAATAGTGATTTTTTTGTATTCCATGATTTTAAGTATTCCATAATAGTTAATGCAATAATAATATAATTTTTT